CATGAGTTTCCTTGCTTAGATGATGCTCTGTAAGCCCAATCAAAATCTGCATAAGAAAACCTGTCAAGATCCAATATATTAGTTATGTCTGCTTTCATACCAAAATTGAATTTGAGACTGTAATTAATGAAACCATCATAAATGTACAAGAAAACCTATTTAATTTATGGAAAGAACCAAGTATTTAAGTAAAAAGCAATACTAGTAAGATCTTAAGATTTTGTTATAAGCATAATCCAGTCCACCTCACCCTGTAAAAGTTGTCCTTTTCCCTTCACTCATGTCTCTGTCTCTGATTTCCGAGGTCATTTGAGAGAGCAGATTTTTACTACTTTACTACTACTGAGGTCACTATGTAACAGGGTTTCTGAAGCTCCAGATACCTTAGGCTATACGATATAGCTAGATTTCCTCATACAAACATAAGAATTATTTCTTATATAAAAAACTAGAAAGTCCATTAAATCTTTAACTAGCTTTTGAAGTAATACAAGCAGTTACAAACACAATCCAAAGTCTGAGTTTGCCAAAGTTAGTGTGAAGAGCTTCGAGAGCATTATATTTCATACCTGATTACAGATGTTTTTCATATATCTGTTCAAGCCATTTATGTTGTAGGTGAATGTTAAGATTTAATTCACACCACAAATAGCAGTTGGATAATCCTGAAATATAACACTCATCATCCGGGTGTACTGCAAGTTTCAAAATCTGACTGAATCCACATTATTCCGTATTAACATACATTCAAGAAATCTGAATTTCTACTGCTTGCATCTTAATAAAAAGGAAGCTGATATAATTATCTTTGTCTGCATCATGTATAAACATCTTGTACCTTTATTCTCCTTGCGAGTTTCTGAAGTCTGTAAAAAACAAAAGATGTTTTAGACAGTCTACTACATCACCACTGTAATTTAAGCTTATTTTCAAAATCAAAATAACTTACCAGTGATTTGTAAAGACTGGACTTTGGATTGATCCTCATAAATTGGAGAAGATCTTGCATAGTCCACAGCTTTGGGGGGGGGGGGGGGTTGGGGGGGGAGAGGAGGAGTAATTTAGAAAAGGTTAACTAATTTAAAATAATTTCAAATATGTAATAGGCACTATTTTATATTTGTAGAATGTTTTCCATTCAAGAAAGATCTATTTATCACCTTGTAAAACAATTTTCAGTGGGCTGCTATTCTGGTACTTCATTTACTTATTTCCACTACCCAAGACATACAGCAGTCAGCATGTAGTTACATGATCAACTGAAGCTGTGAAAAGAGATAGTTTAGTTTCCTCCCTGCCCTGAATACATGCTTTTGCCACTCTTCTTGCCCCTTTTCTTGATTTATCCCACCAGTCAGATGAGTTCACTAACCACTCACCGGGCCAAAAAATTAATTTTGAGTTAGAAACAGCTTCACCCCACCATGTATCCACAGAGAAGAAACAGAGAGGGCAGGGACTGTACTTCTCAGCCACAGATTCTAGGCAAAAGAGGTTAAACTGATCATGAACCACATTTTCAGGGAACTGAATGGCCAAACAAGAGGTTAGCCTTAGTAGGGATCAGTTCCCCAACCGCTCTGTCACACAGTCTCACAGTCATGTCAGACTGCAGCTATGGGTGAAGCAAGTGTAATTTTAAGAGGCTTGTGCTGTCTCTCTAAAAACCAGCATCATTAGCTTATTGCCAGCATTTATGAAAATGACCCTGAATAAAGAAATCCTTTATGGAAATAATCAGAAGCTGTACTTGTTTGTATTTCATTATCATAAAAAGGTATTTATTTTTTTTTAAATTTTGTTGGAATAGGACAACCCCCAGAAAGCAAAGCTCACACAAGTCTTAGAAGAGGTAAATTACTGAACTTACCTTCTTCTTTTCTAAACCACTTTCTGGAAAGAAAACAGAAAGTGAATACTCATAGCCACATCTTTGTAGATGATCTGCTACCAGACTGTTAGAAGCTGTGATCAAAACTGAACTTCCTTCACTTGGAACAGCCTGCGGCTGAAGTTCTCCACTTAAAATTGGGTGCATTAGTTCATGGATTAACTGTTTTCGGAGCTGTGTCTGATACAGGAAAGACATAATCTCAGTTTACATGCTATTTAATGAGTTTTTACTTTTCAAAATTCACAGTGAGTCTCATATTACTTGTACAAGTTATATTACAACCTATGTAACAGAAATGGGCAGACCAGCATTGACAAAACAGAATAGTGCTTGGGACACTTTGCCTTTCTTCAATACTGCAACAGTGGCTACAGTGAAGTTTGACTTTCCCTCACAATGTATCAAATGTAGAACTGAAAAGAAGTCTTGTTCTGTCAAGAACTCACATAACCTCCACTCTAGTACCCCCAGCTTCGTTTTAGATCACTGCCTTCCTCTTCTCCTTCTCACTGGCTTAAATAAAACCTGCCTGATGTGGGCTCAATTTCAGGTGTACTTGGAAAATTCACTAGTCTTATTCTGAGTCTCATACTGAGAAGCTGCCAATACCATCACAAAAGCAGATGGGAAAATAAACAGGAAATTCAATGTCTTTAACATAAATTTTACAGGGAAGCAAGAGTACTAGTTTAAAAACCCTACAGACACTAATAATAATTAAATAGCATTTTCTATTATTTGCATTCTATAAAATTACTATAGAACAGAAAGAGTAATAAGGAATCAGAAAGTCTCCCTCCTATAAAAATAAGATGTACGATTTTTATTATATAATGACAGAAACTGTTTATAGTGTACTAGAAGACTACAACAGAAACAGCGTTTTAAGCTTTCAACAGCAGGTAAGCAACAGTGACAATGATCAAAGAAGTAGCATCTTACAAAAACAGGACAAAGTACTTACCAAAAGTTAAAAAATCTAAAGCATCAGACCAGCCTGATATTTTTGCATAGCTTCCTACAGAAATTAGGCTGACAACAGAAATTAAGACAACTGAAAAAATGTTTTCCTTATTCATTTCTGAACTTGTCCAGTTTCAGTCAACTTGGACAGAGATGATACTGTCTCAAAAACAACTGAGACCAGTAACATCTTACACATCTCGTGACAAAGCACAGGTGGAAAACATAAGGCTAAATCACCATCCCTACTATGGGAAAGGAAGGCAGAAATCAGTTGTTTACATGTTGGCCATTCAGCTCCAGATCCACTCTGCCTCTTACAAGCAGAGACAGACAGATAAGACCACAAGAAATTTGAGAACTTTCTCATTAGAAGATGTAATCCATAAGAATCCATAAGAAATCAGTAAGAATCCATAACTGTATTAATTCAGCTCAGAAAAAAACTGTATACTCTTCTATACAAGGAAAATGAAGCACAAAACCAGACTTACATAGCTTGCCACCTGACAGACTATTAGTTAAGTCAAACCAGACACAAGCTTTGTCTGGAAATCACTGAGGGAAAAACAAGTTCCCCTGAAAAAGAGAACTGTTGGCCATAAGATTATCAACGGCATTCTTAAAGTATAGATTTCTTTTTTTTTTAACATTAATGAATTTCACATAAAAAGTAGGAGCTAAAAATTTTGCTGGTGACATAAAGGTGCATACAAAAGTACAGAAAGATCAAGACTTCAAAAAGAAAAAAAAAAGGCAGTCAGATGATTTTTAAAGACTAGCAAAAAACTGAATTTGCATGAAATACATTTCAGCATTTAAAGTCTGATACCAATTTCTGCTGTAACACAAGGGATTTCTTGTTTCAAAAAAGCGAGATGTGGTTGTAACAATCAAATAATGACAAACACTCTAAATGCAACATGCTTCAAGAAGAGACATATGCAGCTGTCCACAGACTCCCTCACAAAAATAAGAGAAATTAACATAATTTTAAACTCTGCCTGTAAAGCTCATAACAATCACAATCTAATTCCTTTAAAACAAGGGTGTAAGACTTCAAAGTGATGCAGAGGACTGCTGGGGTAACCATCAATGAGACTACTTCCCCTCAACTTACTTAGCACTGTAGAACAGAATCCTGAAGAAAAGGTGTGACTGCTGCCTAAAAATCATCAAGAAGAGTAAGAGCTACGTAAACTGAAAGATACTTTCAGCACAGTATAAAGGCCAGAGCAACCATAAATAAACCCAGGCTACAACCAGAACAAAGCTTCACTCTTGAGCACAACCATTGTCTAAGATATTCTCCTGAATAAGCAGGCAGGAGAAAATCAGCTCAAATGACTCTATGACTCAAACAGTTTTAAAACAGAACTGTAGTATTTTAGGATGATCATTCCTATAGCATGCTTACTTACTGTAGATAATGGACTCTGTGCCCTATGCGATCTTTTCCAATGCTGTATTTTCATTTACTCCTCTCTTCCTTGCTTGACTTTTCTTGTCAAGCATGAAAATTCAAAGACCTGCTACAGACCTTTAACCCCCCTGAAAAAGACTCAGACTAACCCCCACAAAAAAAAGCTGAACACAAATTCGGCTCTGACAAAAAGAATACATTTGGGAAGAGGGTGAAACACATTTATTTAGCAAAACTTTTACTGTTTTCAACGTTAAGCAGTAATCACAGGCAGCACCTGCTGAGAATAAAGCACACCTTAAGTGTGTCCAGTACACCTCTGTTCTTAAAAGTCTGATAGAGCCTTTTCCGGAGCTCATCCTGGGACAGCGTCTCCTTTTCAACCGAAGCCATGCTGCCCTACAGTATCACGAAACAGAAACAAGGAAGCAAACAAAAAGGCGCGTTACTGACTCCCAGCTCGATGCACGGCCGCCGAGTGCCCCACCTGCCCGGCCTCTCCCTCAAGCAGGTCCAGGCTTTGCCGGGCAGCCTCCCCCTACCCACGGGGAGAGCGGCCGGCCCCGGCCCGCTCCCGTGCGCTGCGCCTCGACCCTCCGGTTCCTGCCTGAAGAGCGGCGGCGGGGGCTCCCCGTGTGGCGCCGGCAGCCCGTGCAACCGCGCTCTGGGAACGGGGCAAGCAGCACGCTACGACCCACCAGCTCCGACGGCGTGAGGGCTGCCGGCGGACGCTGAGGCGTCACGGGCGCGCCGGATGCTGAAGAAGCGTTTCCGGGAGGCCGTTGGGAGCCGTTGGAGACCTAGCGTCGCAGGGTAGGCGGTGGGCCGCTGCGGGCGTCGACAACCCTTCTCCCCCGCCCCATTCTCTCGTTCTCCCTTCCTCTTTCCCTTCCTCCCCGGCTGGTTCCGCGGGCAGCCCCTGCGGCACCTGGCCCTTCCCCTGGGGACGGCAGCCCCGAGCGGACCTCCGGGTACTGGAACGCGGCGGCGGGGTGCACTGCCCCGGGTAGCTCCGGAGTCCCCGGGGATAGGAACTGCAAGGCCAGACTGGGGGCCTTGAGCAACCTGATCTAGTGGGAAGTGTTCCTGCCCGTGGGAGGGGGTTGGAACTGGATGAGCTTTAAGGTCTCTGTCAACCCAGCCATTCTGTGCTTCTATGGAGCCGGGCTATGGGACTGCCATCTACCACCCTTCCTCTTTGTACGGCCTGTTTGTAGGGCCCCTGAGGGGGAGACAGGCGAGGAGAGTCTTCAGAGGCAGATGCACCTCATTACTTCACTGGATCGTTGCTGTCCAAGTCATGGGGAGGGATGTCAGGGGATAGATCAGTAACTTAGGTTCACTTCCAGGAGATGTTTCACTTCATAAGGATGTTTTCTCCCCCATTTGAGTATAAATGGACATACCTAGGAAAATGTTCATCTCTTTTTAGCTTATGGTAATTATGAATAGAAAGCACGTTAACTGATTTTTAAGAGCACTGTCACATGGATTGAGTTTGTAGACTCATCAGCATGTCTGTCTTTTTCTTGTAAGGAGCATTGCTTTGGAGAATGTCTGGAAGTTTCTACTTTGTGATAGTTGGTCATCATGATAATCCCATATTTGAAATGGAATTTCTGCCTCCTGGAAAAGTGGAGTCTAAGGTGTGTTTTTTCCCCTGTGATACTCCTATGTTGTAATTATGATGCTTTTTCTTTTATAATTTTATGCTGCGTTGGAAGCATGGCCAGCATTTTGTTTGAACAGTTATTAGTGTCTACTGTTTTCTGCTTTTATTGGAGAAACTTTGTCATAGGGAATAGAACTCTGGCATTCTGGAGTGTCTTAAAAGTTCTTTGTCAGATCATACTAGTTCTTCATAAAACATGGTTTCCTTAAATATTTGATGCTGTATGCTGAAGAATGTATGTGCTAGTCATGCTTGATCATTGCTCTTAGGGTATAGAGCTTCTGTAATAGCTGTTTGTTATTTAATGCGTGTGTAATTCTCTAAGGCCTCTGTAAATAGTTACAAGGTAAAGTGAGGAACACGTTTGAAAGCTCTATTTAGTCCTTTATTTTTTATGCTATAAACAATCTCATTTTTTTAATCATCCTCATTAGTCATATTTGCTTTTAAATAAGAAAGGTTTAAAGCCTGTATTGATAAATACAAGTTTTTAAATGTGAGAAATGTCAGACTTACTGAGTAAGTAGCATTTCCAGTGGGAAAAGAACAAATCTGATATTACATTGAGGAAAAAATAAATTGCAGAATAAAAGGCCATGGATTTGTGAGTTGGTCAAAAAATTGAAGTCTGTGCTGTTACTGATTTGAACAGCATGGTGTCATCTGTATTTCTATCTAGTGTCCCATTAAGATAAGGCTAGTTGGACCATACTCAATGAGTGTGGGGATGTGTCAGTGGAAAAATTCATTTTCTGCATTCTGCTATTGGAAATAGCTTGGCTTGTCTGACTGAGGTTGAAATACTGATTTTTCTCCTAAGAGAAAATCTAAACTTGATGTATAATGAAAGAGAACTATTAGACATTCATGTTTTGGCAGTTGTCGCTTCTGTTTCCGAGACATGCCATTAAAGAATGAATTCAGTTTAGATGCACTTAGTAATGGACTTCAGATAAAGTAAGTGGTTTGCATAGCATACATGGTAAATCAGCATGAGCTTTTGCCCCTTAAACTTCACTACTTCGTCTCTTCCTCAGTATGGTTTAGTGGAACTTACAAAGCTATTAATGGCCTGAGCCAAACTTGGTTTTAGGGGAAAACATAGTGCACTGAGAGAAACAGTGCAAGTCCACTTAATGTTTCCAGTCTAATACAAGCTTATAGTATGGTTTAGTCCCACATTTCTTCTTCAGGTGTCCTCTGGTGGTGTAGTTCATGTGCAAAGTAAATGGCTCTTTGCCTACACAATCTTGCAGTGTTGGGGCCAAACACTGTGATCAGTTTTATGAAGGCCATTCATGTTTGTTATAGGAAGAGGTGCAATTTATATCTGCAAGCATACATTTAATACAAGTTGCAGGAAGCCTTTCTGCGCTAGCTCTTAGGAAAAATAAAAATCCCAAAAGAATAAAGCAATCCTATGTTTCTAGGCAAATAACCTTAAAACCCAGAATCTTTAGGTGATAATTTTATCAGTGTATATGTCCTCTGTATTTCTCTGCTTTCCCCATCTGTCCCCCAACTTTTACACATTGTAGTATTTTACTGTGTTTTAACACACAGTGTTTTACATTTTAAACATTTACACATTTTAACATTTACACATTTTAACACTGTATTGCTCAACTTCTGCCAAATTTTACAGAGACCTTATGGTGAAAAAATACTAAATTGCTGTAAATTTCACAAAACCAGGTGACTGGAAAGCAGAGGTCTTATAAAAGCAGACTTTTATGAGGGCTTCTGTTGTGGAGTAACTTTGCAGTCAGAGATTACTCATTGGTAAACAAAAGAATTCATGCCTGAATTCATTCCTGAGGCATAAATACAGGCTTTATTGGGTTTACTATTCTCATGGCTAGTTTTGTGATGACCTTTTATGACTTTTATTTCTCTTGAAACTAAGTATCATGACAATAGGTACTAGTTTCACTTACAGGTTGGCATATATGTAACAGAAAAGAATGGTGTATATATGACTAGTTGTTTAGCAACTTGAGCAAACTATTGTTTATATTTCACTCCTTTCACTGAATTACTAATTCTATGTCTTCTGGAAATACATTAGGATGATCATCGCCATCTCAACCAGTTCATTGCCCATGCTGCTCTTGACCTAGTAGATGAGAACATGTGGCTTTCTAACAACATGTATCTGAAGACTGTGGACAAGTTTAACGAATGGTTTGTTTCGGCTTTTGTCACAGCTGGACATATCCTTCCCTCTTCTCTTTCGATATATTTATATAGGTAAATCCTTTCGCCAGAAAGGGACAAGTTAGATAAAATGAGTTTGGAACAGATTTTGCTGGCTGCTCAGCACTGTTATAGTTAGAGAGAGTCACCAGCTTCAAGATAAATTAAGAGGCACAGAAGGTGTTTAAAACTGGGACCTGTTGGAAAGGTGGATTTTTCCTGTTGGAAGAGCTGAAATAGCCTAATGAAACATGGAGCTTACCTGGAACAGAGGAAAGTGGTATGAATAGTTCTAGACAGGAGAAAGAGGAATAAACGTGCTTGGTGTCCCTCACACCCATCTTGACAATGCAGCATCAAGGCTCGATCTCATATACATGTCATCCTAGTGTTTGTTGTGAAACATTTGTCATATGTGGCAAGTAACACTGAATGTCATTTTAACTTCAGGGGTATATGGCAATGCTGCTGAGTGTGTCATCCCCATTCAGAATTGTGTAGCTTTAAAAAGAATAATCTTGACTAGAGAGGTGATTATTTTCAAATACGGAAGTTTTTAAACAGAAAGGTAATGCTTTCTAGATTTCACTGCTTCAGTTACTTCTTTAAAATGCTTCCTCTTATAGTCACTGTTATTTCATGTACAGCTAAATGTTTTAAATGTACGCAGAATTAGGTGTAAATGCTTATCTCAGGCTATGTTAAATGTCTCTCTTCTTTGTGGAAGATACATTTTTCTTAATTGCTTTACATATGAGATTTATAATGCTTCACGATGTAAGGCAAGAAGATGGAATTAAGAACTTCTTTAATGATGTATATGACTTATATATAAAGGTAAGAACCCACTTCCTATGGTCTCACGGCAGTACTTTTAGGTGTGTTCTGCTGTAGATGCTCAGGCATTCCTGTATTAGCATATTTTCTCATGGAGGCCAGTGTAAGTGGAGAAGAACTCATGCGGTCCACATGAGCAAGAGCTGATAACATGTGACATAAAGGCTGTATTTTCTATTACAGAGAACAGATTTTTCTGACTTGACTTGTTATAAATTGTGCTCCTTCAGAACTTATGCTTCATGTTAGTCCAGTGATTTTGGGGCAGTATTGTGTCATTCATGGGAACAGGGAAAGCAAAGGCCTGTTGTACAGAAGCCTGGTCAAAGTGCTTTGCTCTCAGAACAAGTGGTACTTGTTCTCTCAGCCTGGAGGTACTCCACTAGATGGGGCAATAGCGAGAACCCATTGGAAGAATTGCCATCTTGGCCTCCTCTGAGCACTCAACTGACACTTATTTCCAAAATAGAAATTTCCACCAGAGTCATGATGGATTTTCTCTGAGGAGGTGCTATAAGGGATGGCTGTGCATGTACGTGGGATGTATGGAAGGGCCTGGAAAGCAAGCAACTGTTCAGAAGCTCCCTGCTCTCAAGTGGCTTTAAATAGGCTGAAAACTAATAGTAGCTGTCATCTGAAGTAACATTTGCTAGTGCTAGGCATTGTGCTTATTGATGACTTTTTCTTTTTTCCTCAGTTTGCAATGAATCCATTTTATGAACTTAATTCTCCTATTCGATCCAGTGCCTTTGAAAGGAAAGTACAGTTCCTTGGGAAGAAACACCTGTTAGGCTGAATAAATGAATTTCTTGTGTGCTTTTTCCATACTTCCCCGATTATTTAAACTGTAGTTCTGGTTATTTCTCAGCATGTTTGATATTCATCTTCTGAAGACTGGCAAACTGGATGCTGAAGAAGCGTTTTCGTTGCTGTTGCCAATAGAGTTCAGAACAGGCAAGCTTCTCTGGTTAAAACATGTAACTTAAGAAGTTTCCTTTTATGTGCTATGGAATAGGTACACACTGAGACGTGGGTGCCAGTGCATATGCAAAATGTAAGCTTCTTATATGCGGTGGGAGGAAATCAGATCTAAACACAAAAAACATCTCCAGTCATGCAATTTAATACAAATAAATAGTAAAAGAGAATTCTTGACTGTTTGGCTTAAGGGGTTAATTTTGTTATACACTTTTCTACTTACAGACGTTTGCTAGAGAACATACTCTGCAGACTAATCAGACTAACCTTACTTTGTGGTATTAATTTAGGTCCATGTTTATATTGTAATGTGTAATGTATGTATTATAAAGTGTTTAATAAAAAGAGGGTGTATCAGCAAAGCTCTGTCTTCAGTATTTCAGTTTGGGAAAAAACCTCTAATGTTTTAGAGCTTAAAGCTGAAAGCTTCAAACTTACTAAATGTTCGCGAGTGATGCATGTTTAGCTGCAGCATTGCATCAACTGAAGTAGCCCAAAACACCAGTTGTCTGGCCTGACTTTAATCCTAATTCACATATGGGAAAAAACTGAACTTAAACGTCTAAACACACATCTTTCCATTTTCTCTGCAAGTGCTGAAAAGAAAATATATTAAGAGTAGGATCTTTGAACTATGAGTCTCATTTGTTGTTTCAGAAAGGCATTATTTGGCCTGTCTGGCTGCTATTCCATTGTAAAATGTGGTTAAGGACTCTTCTGCAAAACTTGCATCATTCCAAACAGTAATTTTTAAATGGGCCGTTTGGCATATATGTACCTAATATTTTGGTTGGTTTCACAGTCTTTTAAGTAGCCTGTTTTCTTTTGCAGTGAAGCTGTGCAAGCTATCTTCTTGGACTTCTCTTTGAAATGTCTGAGAAGTAATTCTCAAAAGAAGTGGTATGCTGTTCTAAGAATTACATTTTGCATAGTCTGTGTAAAGGGACCACTTGTACATGCTTTAAACGTACAGCCATTCATTATTTCTTTGTAATTTACACTTACTGCTACACTCTCGCTGTAAAATACAAGAACACAATACAAAGGTGCAATATACCTTAAATAAAACATATAATGTTGCAGAATGGATGCCTGTTGGGTATACTTGAAATGATCTAACAGAAAACTAAATGATCATGGTAAGACTACCTTATTGGTGGGGTGACAAGTGAAGATGGGAATACTTGTCTTTGCAGTATTATTTCATAAAAAGTGCATTGTACGAAAATATATTGACATTTTGATAATGTCATGTAATCTTGTATAAATCAACTGGCTTGGGATTTTTTGCTATACACATGAAAGCAATAGAAACACAATTGAGGTATTCTCATTCGTGCAATAAGGAATCATTAAGCTGGAGCCATTAAGCTGTTTTCTGCCTCCTCCCCAGTAGCAGGATGGTTGGAAAAATACCAACACTTAAGACTCACTGAGGAAATGTTTCTGTTAAATAATCGTATGTGGCAGTAAGAAGAGTTTTGGCAGAGATGAAGGATTAGTGCTAGAAGTTTCCACCAGTTTTGGAAACTAGGGATTTTTGATAATTGTATTCTTCCATCATACAGTAGCAAGTTATGTAATACAACATCATTTTCTCTCTTGCCTGATCTCTGAAGACAGTTAAACAAATGGTGCCTGGTTTTATGCCCCCTGTATGTTTTCCCTCTTTTCTTCTGTATATAGGAGTTGTAAATGGGAAATGCAGTCTCACAGGTCCTTCTAGGCTTTGTAAAGACAGACTGTTACTGGCAAGGAAAGGGAGAATTGTCTGAACTCATTACATCAATCACTGTAAAATTTGTGTTGAAGAACATTGTCTCAGAACTCTGAGGAACCTTGGCTAGGTAGCTGTGATTTCCCTGTGGTATGAGGGAACACTTGTTTATGCTTTGATTTGTGACTTCTCACAATAAGTGAAAAGTGACAGGTGAAAGTTGTGATCAGCTAGTCACAAATCTGCTTTAGGTCTGAAAGATGAAGTTCTAGTGCATCTGACAATGAACAGTTCCTCTGTGAACAAGGCAGAGACAGACCTCCCTTGCACAAGTATTATGTTCCTGCCCCACCTCAGAGGCTTACAAATAAAAATTAAATGAAATCTGTTGCAGTATGAGAAAGCAGCAGATAACCTGTATTATGTAATAAAGGCCACAAAAAAAAGTTTCTAAGTTAAAGGGAGTGGAATTACCCTAGGTAGTACAAATATCACACATAAGGAAATGAGGACATTAGCATAACCTAAGACCATGAACCAGCCTTAAGTAACGGAGATGCAACTCATTCTCACCTTTTTGCAAGATTATGTTACCATTTAGGTAACCTGTCCTCTGACTTAAAGTAAGATCTGTTGGAGGTGCAGAGACCTGTCAAAGCAAGTAGCCTGGTTCTAGCAGCAGTCTCACACTAAACATCTGTATACTTTGCTACAACACGAGCCATTAGCTGTCCTAGCTAGCTGCTTCTGCCCTTTCTCATTCTGCTGTCTGTTCCAACATAGGCAGCTTTCATCAATCCCATCCATTTGCCATGACAGTACTTTTTTGCTTCTTATTTTGAAGGACATCTGCAACTTTAGATACATACTACACAGCATGCCCTGTCACTCTACAGAACTCTTAAATATTGCTAACAGGATCCCCTAATGCTTGTGGTATGTTAGCATTTGAAATGAATCAGTGAATTGAAATACAAGACACAAGCACCTACCTTGCCTACATATTGAATGATGGATACCAAAGTCTACACAGGGTACAAAAATTGAGCATTGTTTTCTTTTTTTTGTACATCTACATCTACTTGTCATAGGACTTCTGCTTTTTTCAAGTACTCCAGTCTCCCTCTAAGCCCAAAATCCTGACCTCAAAAATAATTCTCATACTGTCATATTTACTATAGCATGTAACTCCTCCCACCTTTACTGCCACTTTTGTGATTAGTGTACAGTTGTACAGCAGCTCCCAGGCACAAGTAATACACTTCTATTAAGTTTTATTTAAGTTTATTAAACCTACTTCTCAGGCAGAGGCTTGGTAACCATGATGTTACATGAAGAGGACAGATGGGGAAACGGATGCTTAGGCATAAGAAAGACTACAGTGGTTCTCATCCTTAACTGTTTTCTTCTAGCAATCTCATTTTAGTCATATCTGTAGTACTCTAGTCATGGAAACTTAACCTCCTGCTTTGTTTCAACTTTAACCTCTGCCAAAATAATCATTAAAGGAAGCTTTTAGTAGTAATGTAGTAGTTTTACAACTATTTCACATCACTAGCTTAGTAGTTCCCAATGCAAGCAATCTTTGCCTTTAAAGCTTTTTGCTCTTGGCTTAATCCTAAGAGGAATTTATTTTCTTCACAGATCTTTTTATTCATTCACTAGAAATAACAGAAGTAGCAGCTCACCCTGTATTTAGCTGTTAGGTGACCGAAGCTTACACCAGAAGCTTATACAGTTCTGTTGCTGTATATGCAGGACTGCAAGAATGAATGAGACTTAGGAATGTACAAAAGGTAAAAAGGTATCACTTTTAAGTGATTTTAAGCAGGAGCAGCAGATCTATGGAGTAAAGTTGTCCTAGATTCAAGAAAGAATACAATACAGAAAAGTGGATTAAGAGCAACAAGCAGGGTTTGTTCTGTAAGCTTTACTTCCATACAATTAAACCTGGTACAGACTGAAGAGATACGTTAAGAGAAAACTTTTGCTGTTACTGTACTCTCAAGAAAGGCTTTTCTATTGGAACAAAAAACCTTACTGTACAGAAAACAGAGTCTGTGTAGCTTAATGAATAACATAGCCTGTTCCCATAGGCCACAGACTTTCTTTTGAAGTCCACAATGTGAGTATGCGCATGCTGGTTAACAGTCCAATTACACATTTGAAGCAATAGTACACTATCAAGTTTGCTATTACAAGGACAGTGGGTACTCCAAGAGCCGACACTCACCAACAACTCATATTCTACCACTTAACTGTAATGGAGAACTTCAAATGCACCTTCTGTGGTGTCATCTGCATCACTGCAGAAAGACTGTCCATTAAATATATAATTTGCTTCTGTTCATCACTGTATAATGAGTACAGTAATATAAAACACATCATCTTAAATGTGTACGTCTGTATAAGTCCATATTCAAAAAATAACACTAGCTGTATGTATTTACTTGTATTAGGGCTGAAAGCTGTCACAATATAACATAAGTCAAAAGCTTCCTGAGTTTTCTACGTATTGCCAATCCTTAGTTTCACAGTGCAGAGATTACTAGTAAACACACTGATAGCTCATGTTAACAGGAACAAGAAGTTTGGAACTTTAAGGCTCTTTACGAAAAGTTTTCCTACAAACTTGTCATAATGTGGATCCGTTCAAGTGCTATTAAAGCTGACTCAATAAAGTGTATCTTCTTCATAACTAAAAATGATTATACTTCAGTTACTCTTGATTTTTCACCTTATTGATCAGAAACACGCTAGAGTGGGGCTTAAGGCAAATACATGTATTAACTTAAAAAAATCATCAGTCTCTTGCGTTAAGCTGCTGGGCAAATTAGTACAGCATTAGAATAGAAAATGAAAATGGATTTTTAAATATGTAGGAAATTTATTTCCTACTTAAAAATCTATACAAATTATAGCAACATTAGGCAATTAGAGAAAACCTGAAGGTAATTTATATTAACTTACAATAAACATACTAGAGAGGAAGTACCACTCACAGCAAAAGGAATGTAGTGAGACTGAGTTTAATATCTAGCATAGTTAAGAAACTTGACTTCTAGTGAAACAACGGAATGCTGATTTCATAAAAATATACACATATAAAAGTATCTTTGTGCATGAATTCCAGAACAGTTTCTCCAAAGTAGTGCTTCTAGAACTTTCAAGTTTTAATTATATTCGAAGTATTTATCACTTGAATAAAGTTGGCAAATTACATTCTTATATTAAGGTTTTTACTTGACACCTTCCTAAACAGAAGGTGTCACTAATTCAATAATGGGTCACTCATGAATGAAAATTTTTCTTTTGCTCCCCCAAGAAAGCAGCAGAATATTACAATTTTAACACAGAGTAGAACCCGTTTGTTATTTTATCTACTACACCTTCCCCATCCTTCCATAGAGCAAGCTAGTCAAAAGTAATTTGGCCAAAAAAATGATTTAAGTCAGCAACAAGATGAACTGGGTTTCGGTTTCCGATGAAGGTTTACTGTATCCGTTTGAATAAAGTGATCTGATCTGTCTTCAGACGCTAGAACTCTTCTGACAGCTTCTTCAAAGGCTGCTGCAACATTAGTAGCATCTTTCGCACTGGTTTCAAAATAGGGATGGTTGCCATTATTTCTGCACCAGTCTTGGGCTTCTTCTGTTGACACTTGCCTTTCATCAATATCAATTTTGTTACCCAGTATCACAAATGGGAAACTTTCAGGCTCCTTGACATCTGCATAATAAATGAATTCTTTCTTCCAGTTGCTTAAGTTTTGGAAGCTCTGAGAGTCATCCACACTGAAGGTTAGAAGGCAACAGTCAGAACCTCTATAGAAAGGAGTCCGTAAGCTCCTAAAACGTTCCTGACCTGCTGTGTCCCATATCTGCATTGTAACAAAATGTCCATCAACTTCCAACTCTTTATTTAAGAATTCCACACCTATTGTATGAAACAGCTGTGCATCAAACTTGTTGGTGACGTATCGGTTCATAAGGGAACTCTTCCCAACTCCACCATCTCCTAGCAGTATTACTTTAAGGAGTGATGATTTTGCTGCCATTGTTACAGGAATATATTCTCCTGGTTTCCTAGACCTGTAAAGATTAAGAAAACCATTAAAAAGGAAAGTTACAACCAGAAAATTTTACGCACATGAATATACAGAAAGTGTGAAAGTCCACGAGTATCAAGTTTCATGTACAAAAGCGGGAGGACTATGTTATATAGGTGTAGACACCCATAGTAAAAACACCCACTTAAGAACACCACTGTGTTTAAGAGGTGTCTCTTGCACAGACTGCAGTCTGCATGGCAGTCACGGGCAGTTCACTGCACCAATTACTTGTCTGTCATTTCAAACACCTAAAACTCCCAAACCCTTCAACATGCACAAGGGGTACTGCATCACATTCAGCAACTGCAACGATTCATTTATGTTCACTGAAAAAGATCCATGAAGAAAGCATGAAAGAAAATTTTATTAGCATGAGAGGAAAATTTATAATGCATGTGCCTTAAACTAATCACTTAAGTGACATATTTCATTAGCAAAGTAATTTTTAACATACAAAAGTGAAGAGGAAGCTTTAGGAATAAAGCAGGACACTGTCTCTTGTTTGGGAATAGCTGCTGCACTTCACTCAAAATCGCAACCAGACAAGGAATTTTAACTCCCAAGGAACACAGTCACCTATAGAACAAATGCAAATGCTGCGATTTTATTTTAAAAGTCAGGTGACGAGGTACCTGTACATAAACTTTCAGCATTTTATCGTTCAAGCATTGCAGAACAGCCACGAGGAAAGGAATACTATTACAACTACTGCAGAAGCAAATCCACTGTTGCTATTTTAAATGGTACTCATGTTGCCAAGCAGTGAGGCCAAGACCACACAGAGAGTTTGTTAATTTTGTTACATTTATTACTGTCAAACTTCTTAAAAAAAACAACCACCAACAAAAAAAACCAAAAAACAAACAAAAAAGAAAAACAAAAAAGAAAAAAACCAAACCCAAACAAACTATTACCATTAAAAAAATCCTTTAAGAATAAAGTAACTTCCTCAGTAGTGTTCTGTACCAGCCCAAGCTTGGTCATTATTACAGCAGTATCATCTAATAAGAACGTAAAAAGTGTAAAAAAGTGTTTTAATTGCTTGGGGGTACAGTTTCAGTTTTAAGAGCCCAAAGTTATGTTTCTGTAGGAGAACTGCTGTTCCTATACCTGCCCAGTACTGAAAGATCTCAAAGTAATTCAGCCAGAACAGGCTTCTCTGAAAATAGCATCTATTTAAAATGGAAATGGGTCATAAGTTGCCTAGTCCATCCCCTTCTCTGAAAGAAGGAATGCAGTCTTGCTAGTTGTAATTAACGTTACTGGCATATACATCACCCACAGAGTATGGCTGTGGAATTAATACCTGATATAAGCTGGCATGAGAGTCATATGATGCTGTGCTGCTTTAGAATCAAGGCCAATAGAAGAAACAAGAAGTTTCAAGAATTTTTTCATCTCTAGCTTTGCATCTTTGAATATCTATTTGTTAGATACAACCTACAGTAAGACAGAATAAATTCTTTACAGTCTGAGAAGAGCTGAAGCCTCAACACAAAGGCATTTCAAAATATAAGGCACAGTGGCTGCTTCCATTGAAAATTTGTTCAAAGCAAGTAATTTTATTTATTCAGATTGTGAAGTTAAAAGCAATGGTTATAACTCCTTAATTTTATACAGGCTTATATTACAATGATGTTAAAACTGCTTAAGAGCTACAAGTGGATTGTTCATGTAGGGACAGGACAAGTAGCAGAGGGGTGGCTTTAAACTGAAAGAGGGCAGATTTAGATTAGATATAAGGAAGAAGTTCTTTACTGTGAGAGTGGTGAAACACTGGAACAGGTTTCCCAGAGAAGCTGTGGCTGCTCCATCCCTGGAAGGGTTCAAGGCCAGGTGGGACAGGGCTTTGAGCAACCTGGTGTGGGTTGCTCTGTCACAGGGGCAGTGGAACTAGATAAGCTTTAAGGTTCCTTCCAATCCAAACCATTCTAGGATTCTTTCACAGAGCTATGGGATAATTGCTGTGGCTCAGGATATGAATACATACATTTTTATATATGTGAAAAGCCTTCTTAGAGTCACTGGACTACATGCATATGAGCTCCAGGTTCATGCTGTTTAAAATGGCCCAGCATCTTCATTTATCTCCCCAATTCCCACTACTGGTTAACAAGCAAGTTATCTGAGCTAAGCCATTAAATAGGAACATATCCTTGATAAATAATGCATTCATGAGAACAGAGGGTACTGAGTGTCTTCTTATTCTTTCCACTTCAATGCAGGGAACAAGTTATAATTACTTCTTTTTTTTTCTCTCCTGTCACAGTGAAATCATAGGTTCCCTAAAAGACATACTGTGAATAAATGACTGACTTAGTAGTTCTGACTGGTACCATGTACTTGTTCCTTTAGCTTCTACAGTTTGAAGAACTCCAGTTATTATAAGATTTTTCCATGAAGTCACATTTTAAATAAAATAAAAGGAAAGTCTGTTAAAGGAATCTAGTACTTTTATGCATCCAGAACCCAAGAATTTAATTTGCGCAACTTCAACTACATGGGCCATTGCAGTGAGGTCTAGGAGACTGATGACCATAAAAACACTTTTACTGAGCAGACAATCACAGACCAGCCACAAACCATTAAGTGTCTTTTCAACTAGAGCCAAAATGGTCCTTCTACGCAGAAACTATAAAAACAGTCTTCCCAGGACTGATAAGCAAGTATCTCAATGTGATGCTACAGGCAACACCAGTTTTCAGGACATTCAGCTTCCACAGTAGCAGCTGTCGTGTATAACTGGCAGCTTATGTTTTTCTGAAGGTTTTAAAAAAAAAATAAATAAATCAGATGTACCTTCAGTCATTTAAATGCATGCTTATAAGCATGTTTAGAGGCATTAAGACCCATTTTTGTTTGGAAGCAGCAAAGACTTTATAGGATTTTTGACTATATAAGGGACTTTTCTGCAGCCCCACTGAATATGTGATTTAGATTATCTGCCAAACAAGGGCAACAGTTGTCAGCACAACAGGCCGCTGCATTTTATCTACTACACATCTTTAAATACGTTTTTTAAATGAATTTATCATTTTTTAAACAAAATAATGATAAAATCCATAAGACACTGGGAGAAGTAATGTTATTTCCCCTATTACATACTTCGAACTTATCTGTATAATATGCTTTTTCTTAATACTCTTCAAGGAGCAGTCAACATCTGATACTGTGTTTCTGAAGATTTACTGCCATAATTGTTCCTTTTAAATCATCATTCAATAGCCAAAAACAAAACAAAAACTTCATTCCCAATGTGCATGTGATTATTTTAATCATCAGGAACTGAAATATACCACAAAATTTTACAGTTCTGGTGTCCTCAACATAAAAAGGACATGGAACTGTTGGAAAAAGTCCACAGGAGGGCCACGAGGACGATCAAGGGGTTGGAGCAGCTCCCATATGAAGACAGGCTGAGAAAACTGGGGCTGTTTAGCCTGGAGAAGAGAAGGCTGCGTGGAGACCTCATAGCAGCCTTCCAGTATCTGAAGGAGGCCTACAAGGATGCTGGGGAGAGACTCTTCATTAGGGATATTAGAAGTGATAGGACAGGGGGTAATGGGTTAAAACTTAAACAGGGGAAGTTTAGATTGGATATAAGGAAGAAGTTCTTTACTGTAAGGGTGGTTAGGCACTGGAATGGGTTGCCCAAGGAAGCTGTGAATGCTCCATCCCTAGCAGTGTTCAAGCCCAGACTGAACAGAGCCTTGGGTGACATGGTTTAGTGTGAGGTGTCTCTGCCCATGGCAGGGGGGTTGGAACATGATGATCTTAAGGTCCTTTCCAAGCCTAACTATTCTGATTCTATGACTTTAATTACAGGAAACAATTTGTTCCAGTTATTTCTTACTGTGCTGCACAATTAGTTTAATGTCAAAGTAGGCTCAGCCTAGTACATAGAGAAGTCTGTAGAGAAGATTTTCCCCTCATGTTCCTTTATCATTTAAATATTCAAAGAAAGAGCAAATAAATGAAAAGCAGCCTCATTCTGGTCCATTTTGATAACCATTTCTGAATTGCCTCCACTGACCTACAGGGACTCAAGCTCTTAGACCACCAATTATTATTATTCCAGTTAAAAGCAGGGAATTGTTTCTACTAAATACCATTTTTAATACAATCATATACCACAATACAAAACATAATTGAATTGTTGTCTCCCAGAATCTCCCTTTTAAGCAGTGAACTGAATTACGCATCTGAAACATTTCCATTAGCAGTTCAAAAGTTTGCTGGCAAGACTAACACCAGCATGCTAAGCAACTTCAAAAAAAATCACTGCCTTCCAAAATCTTTGATTCCCAGCTCTGCAAAGCTTAGAGAAACACCACTGCCCTGTCCAATCCATCTATCTAGGTTTTCTTAATTCCAATACTGTCCACCTCATAGGTGCCTTTTTAGAGTGCAATTACCTCTTTTAACATTATGTACTGGGCAGCACTCAAAGAATAAGTGAGATTCTTGGTTGAAAAAATCCACAGCAGCAACACATAAACTTAATCTAGGAATCTGTCTTTTTTTTTTATAAAAATAATTTAACAGATTAAGGGGGACCTGCTTATACAAGAGTACTGAAGGTTGAAGAACTCCAGTTTTGTTTGTGGAAAACTAGTGTTAGCCAACACATAATTGCATTCTACCTATGATGTCAGCAAGCCACAACTCCACTTAAACTATTAAGCAAACCAAGTTAATTGGAAATAGTTATATTTATCTCACCTCTACCCCCTCTTTTTTTAATAAAAGACACCAAAACCTGGATCTGTTGTAACAGCACCACTGAATTCTCTCAGTATTCTTGAGAAAAATGATGTAAGGGATACTTCAAAATTCCAGACTATTGTTTCTTCACTGGTACTTACTTTCAAACTTAGAAATAGGCAAGAAAATTTATTCCAGTCACCATTTTCAGCCTGTGGTCACCCATGAACCACCTACGATACAAAATCAAGACTAAACCCAACGGTTTCCTTGAAG